ACAAAAAAAGTTTTTGCTAAAGAGAAGAGAGATTTTGGGGATATGTGGCAATAAAAGAAGAAAATACTCTAGGGGAGATGGATATGGGAAGGACAGAGTGGGACACCTAAGAGAAACCCTGCATGATTTTCCCAATATTGTCTGGGCAGCCTTAGGAGCTGAAGGATGGAACAAGGAGATACCAGCAGCCTGCAGAAAGCGGTGGAGCTGACCTTGCACACACACCATCCACGGACACCTGGATGCAGCCCATGTTTACACCATAGCATGCGCTCTCACTTATATGCCTCATGTACCTGTTCTATTCCTTTAGCAGGAAAGCTATACATTATTTCTCCAATGAGTGGCCATTTGGAGGGAGATGTGCAGATATTTGGTTTATAACCTATCCCTGCTCGTTGCACAGAATAGGAAGGTGTGGAATGGATGATGGCACAAATAGTAGAACCTCGTCAAAATACTCTGAAACCTTTTTCCTTTGTAAACCCAGAGGCTCCTTCCATCCTCCACTCTCCTCTTTCAGAAGTAAATCATTTTAATCATAGCAAACCTTTTTCGGCCCCATGTGTGTCCCAGCAGTAAAATGACAGTCTCAACAACGTTTACCTGTTAGCTATGGATTCTAATCTAAAAGGACTCATGTTGCTTTCATCTTCCTAGATCCAGGGCCTGGCACAGTGAAATTATTCAAAAATGTTTGTTGAACCCTTAGGTGATTTTACTATGTGCAGAAATGTATATCAAAATATTCATTGAAACATCTCAGCCCTGGATCTAAGATTGGGTGAGGTATAGGAAGAAAGGGTAATGTACCAAAAAAAAAAAAAACCAAAAACCAAAAACCAAAAAACAACAACAGCAACAAAAAAAAACTAGAGAAAGATATGGTTTCTGTCTTCTAGAAGTTAAAAAGACAGATAAGTAGCAACAGGCATGGTATGGTTAAACACTAAAATTAGTCATTTATATATTACCTGTTTTTCTCATACCCTCGCTGTGCATTAGAAGCTTTGTGAAACTACAGATGCCTGCAGTTCACAGAGATTCTGATTAGGTCTGTCTAGTCAGGGTCTATATTTTTAAACAGTCCACAGGCGATTCACATGCATATCCAGGATATGAATCACTATAACAAGTGCTAGAGAACATAATTAAAAGAGCTACTAGCAAGAACCAGAGTTGGGGGAGGAGTCTCACGGCACGGTTGGAACCTCTTTTGAACCCTGAATCATACAGAGAATTTGGATGGTAGGGATGGAGACTGGAGAGCCTTCTGGTTGGGAGAAAGAATTGAAGACATTGTGAACAAAGGAAGTTGAAAATTAGGGAGAATTACGGAGATATTGTTCAAAGGATACAAAATTCCAGAGAGGGGAAATAAGTTTAAGAGATCTATTGTACCACATGGTGGCTAATCACAATGTATTGTCTACTTGAAAATTGCTGAGTAGGTTTTAAGTGTTTTCACCACAGAAAATGATGCGTGTGAAGTAAAGTGTATGTTTAGTAGCTTCATTTCCCGGTTCGATAATGTGTATATTTTGTATACCATACACATATTTTTTTGTCAATGAAAAAAACAAATTAAAAAATGCCAATGTTAATTAAAAGAAAAGAGTTGGAAGTCAAATGGATACATATTTGCTCAGTGACAACCACATCTTAGAGTAAAGTGCAGAAGTGCCCATGTGAAGATGGTGGCTCTGGTTGAGGTAGTACCACCTGGTTACCCGATGGCAGAAAGAATATCCTTAATGACCAAAGGAAGGCCACAGAGGGAAGGCATGCTTTGGCCGTGTAAAACCAAAGAAAATGACTGAGGCGACTCAATCAATCTAGAGATTTATTCTGCCAAGGTTGAGAATGCGCCCGGGAAAAAGGCACGCAAAGTCACAGGAACATCTGTGATTCGGGAAAAAAAATAGGGAAGAATAGGCAAGCAATTACATTCTTTTGAAGCTAGATTGGTGTTCACTGAATCCACATTTTAAATGTGAAAAGAAGGGATAGAGGAATAGTCAACTATGTATTGGCTCCGGCTCAATGAATCTGCATTTTTAGGTAAGATAAAGTAAACATAGAGTAAAGGAAGTATTCAAATGCATTTGTCTCAGGTGAGCATAGGGATGACTTCTAATCCTGCATTTGTTCTCTAACTATGAAGATAAGCTGTGCTTTTAACTTCTAGAAGACAGAAACCATATCTTACTCTAGTTTTTTTTTTTTTTTTTTTTTTTTGGTACATTACCCTTTCTTCCTATACCTCACCCAATCTTAGATCCAGGGCTGAGATGTTTCAACGAATGTTTTGATATACATTTCTGCACATTGGGGTGCACAGAGAATTTTCTTGTGAGCGAATTGTGAGGGAGGCTCCCTGGGGAGGCCTGTAACCTTCTACCTTTGTAGCTATCCATTTAGGAACAAAATGAAAGGCAATTTTGAATGACTCCGTTCCCAAGCTTAACTTTGCCCTTTGGCATAGTGAGTTTGGAGTCCTGAAATTTTTATCTTCTTTTCACAGCCACAGCCTGGGAAGTAGGGCCCCTTTCTTTGTGCCCACAAAACAGCTGTGGATGGCTACAAAAATGGTCTTGAAAAAAATGTCGAGATAGACAAAGAAACACATGCATTCCCATTCCCAGATTTCATTATTAAGACTCTGTCTCAAGAAAGGTGCTTGAGTTTGAGGTCCCATACTCTTGGAATGCTGACTACTGGGAGCTTCACCTTGAGGGTTGAGGATGTGTTTCCCTGGCTTCCCTTAATTCCCAGATTATCAGGTTTCTTTCTTTTCAGTGACTCAGTGGCAAAAGTCTTTTGCCTTTCTACTTCCTTTCTAGGGAGTAATAAAGAAGAGGGGTGTGAGTGGGACTCAGGGATAACTGGAGGTAGAAAGGAGGTTCAAGAGATGAACCAAAAATATCTTAAATTAAAAATGCTCCCAGCAGAGGGTCAGGGGTGGATGTGCCTGATTCCCAATGCATGTCGAATATGCATTTGTCTCAGGTAAGCAGAGGGATGACTTCTAGTTCTGTCTTTGTCCTGCACCTATGAAGATAAGCTGTTGAATATAAGATGTTCCTGCCTGTTCTAGGGCAAAACAAGATAGTAAAAAAAAGAGGTAATTGTAGCTGCTACCCCAGATGGAAAGGTGAGGGGTTATTGATGGCACACACCAAATTTAGTAAGTTCACTTATGACACCAAGTAAGGACAGTTTCATTGTGTGAAGCACTTTTCATACAGGTGTAGGGACAGATCAGAAGATTCTGGAGAAGGCAGATCACCAAAGAACTCAAGATGTGCTGATATTTTGCCAATTTCCTCCATCAACAACTTGTCTTCTTTACCAACTAAGGGAAACAAAGAGAACAAACTGAAAAAGAAAAAGAAGAAGAAATAATTAAACAAATAACTTAAATAAGAAGGTAAGACCCTCCAAATCTCCAAGATAGTGAAAGTGTATTTGCGTCATGTTTGCCTAACAATGAGCTATTATTGGATGGCAGAAAATAGCAGCAAGTAAGGACTACAGATTTCACCCAGAGGCAGAGCAGACAAAAGACACAACAGTTTCCCGGGAAAGGAAGATGATTCCAGTTTAATTCATCAACAGAACTCTTCCAAGAATGAGACCAGAAACCCTAACTGCATCTTGGAGGAGCTGGAGGGTTTCCCATCACAGTGAGGCCAGCTGCTACCATGGGTGCCAGTGCCAGAGCCGCTGTCTGCAGGCACTCTCATGTCTGCTTGGGCCAAGCAGCAATCTAAATTAAGATGGATCATCTGGTCCTCAGGCCCTCAGGGTGAGTACATATTGCAGCAGTTTCAGCCTGTCTCATACCCTCCCTCTGCAGATCTGCAGTGTCTATAGCCAGATTCCCTGACCCCCAACCCCTCAACTTCAGGTCTCAATCCCAGAACAATGTGGGCTTGAGACAGGAAATATTAAACAGGTTTAGCACTTCCTCCTCCCTCCCAACAGCAGTGGCATCCTGGTGTTGAGTCATTCTCCAGATTAGGTTGAACCAGCTGGCCACTGGGCTCCCTGTGTGTCACCTGAGTCATCTCCACTCTTGATTAGGCCTAGGGGTCCTCAATGGGCTTCCCCGCCTCACCCTGGTTGCAGCTCTCTAGTCTAATAACATTCCACACTGTAATTACAAAAATCCTATACCAAAACTTCTTCCTGGGAGACAGTGAAGAGTGTTGCTCTTTCTTTCCTTCCTTCACTTCCTTCTTTCCCTCCTTCCTTCTTCCTTCTTCCTCTTCCTTCCTTCCTTCCTCTTCTTCCTTCCTTCCTTCTTCTCCTTTCTTTTTTGAAATGCAGTTTCGCTCTGTTGCCCAGGCTGGTTGCAGTGGCGCCAACTGGGCTCACTACAACCTCCGCCTCTGGAGTTCGTGTGAAGAGACACCAAACAGGCTTTTGTGAGCAATAAAGCTTTTTAATCACCTGGTGCAGGCAGGGCTGAGTCTGAAAAGAGAGTCAGTGAAGGGAGATGGGGTGGGGCCGTTTTTATAAGATTTGGGTAGGTAAAGGAAAATTACAGTCAAAGGGGGGTTGTTCTCTGGCGGGCAGGAGTGGGGGTCACAAGGTGCTCAGTGGGGGAGTGTTTTGAGCTAGGATGAGCCAGGAGAAGGAATTTCACAAGGTAATGTCATCAGTTAAGGCAAGGACTGGCCATTTTCACTTCTTTTGTGGTGGAATATCATCAGTTAAGGCAGGAACAGGCCATTTAAATATCACTTCTTTTGTGATTCTTCAGTTATTTCAGGCCATCTGGATGTATACCTGCAGGTCTCAGGGGATATGATGGCTTAGCTTGGGCTCAGAGGTCTGACACCGGGTTCAAGCGATTCTCCTGCCTCAGCCTCCTGAGTAGCTGGGATTACAGACACGTGCCACCATGCCTGGCTAATTTGTGTAGTTTTAGTAGAGACATGGTTTCACCATGTTGGTCAGGCTGGTCTCGAATTCCTGACCTTGTGATCCGGCCTCCCAAAGTGCTGGGATTACAAGCGTGAACCACCATGCCCAGCCATGTGTTACACTTTTCGACCTTGGTTCTCATCTCTTTCTTGGTTCAACCATCTCCTCTTGCTCTTGACTGTCCTGAAATGGGAGAGTTTCCTGACCCCGTCACAGAACATGCAACAGGGGTGTGGCTCTCTGTTCAGCTGCCTTGCTCAAACCCCTAATGGGCAGGGAGCATGCAGATGGGCAGGTCCAAGAGCTGGGGCCAGCACTTTTGGGCTCCAGCCCCATGGTAGCACCTAGGGGTGGGTGCCTGCAACTCCCGAAGCCCAAGCGGGAGTGTTACAGTGCTCTTTTAGCTCTGCTGTCTGCAGATGGCTTAAGTGTTAACCAGTTCAGTACCCTCTTGGTACCCGAAACCTTGTCCAGCATCCAGGAAGAATTAGGTCACATGGACGAAACAAAGGATGGTAAACGCAGGGGACTTTATTGTCAGATGGAGGTGGCTCTCAGCTGGAGGGATGGGGAGCTGAAGAGGGGATGAAGTAGGAAGAATGATCTTCCCCTGGAGTTTGGCTGTCCTGCAGCCAGTCTCCTCTCCAGCCATCCCCAGATGAACTCCTCTTGACATTCAGACATTCCTTCTTTTCTCTCCTTCTCTGCTGGGCCCGCTTTTCTGCCTCTGCTCATCTACTTGTGGAGCATGGGATTTGGGGTTTATATGGGTATGAGATAGTGGGACATGGTGGGCCAAAAGGCAATATTTGGGTGCAAAAACAGGAATGTCTATTTCTATTTAGGGCCATGGGTTTCTAGGCTTGAGGGTGGGGCCTTTGCCAGGCAACTGCCTTCTACCCAGTATTTCCCTGTCTCTTGTTCATATCAGTACCTCTCTCCTTATCTGAGGTTAAGATCAGGGGAGGCTTTAGCTCTGTATCTTAGTTTAGTGTTGGGGTATGGATTTCTGGGGACAAATCTGCCAGAAGCTGGCAGCCTGCCCTGACTTCCAAAAATTACCTGTTCCCAATTTTCAGTGGGCCCTGCTCATGTTTTGACATAGTTTGCAATTCCCCTTGGAGCACCTGGTGCCAACTACTTAGCTGAACCACTATGTGGAAGGCTGAACTCCTTGCATCTGTGCCTTCTCCAACTTTTCCTGTTAAGTTGACCTGTCCCACTCTGAAGGGCATGTCTAGTGCTAAGTCTCAGTCCCTTTCCTGCCTACACTGTCCTGCTCCCAATAAACCTCCACACCTCCTGATAAATCCTGGCACAAGAGAAGCATGTTTGGGAAAGTGTCAGCCTCAGAACTTCTTGGGAATTGAGGGGGAGGGAGTGACTGGGAGGAGGGCTAGTCCCAGATCCTAATGCCCACCTTGCTTCTCATTGAGGATTCCGGTTGATAAAAAATACACATATTGTTAAATGAGGATTGCAACATCAGTTCTGTTTGACTTTCTGTAACAATTAGAAGACTAGAGAATATTGCTAGGTTTCTGACCTCCCACTCAGAATTATAGAGAGCCAAGTCTTCCCTACAAGGTGGACTTATCTACCCAGTCCCAGGCTGAGAAGCTGGATATCAGTCCTCCCTGCTCTGAGGTGGTCCCACCAAGGGGTTGACCTACAGAGACTGATCCATTGCTCTGAAATAAAGGCTAGTTCAAGATGAATCAGGAAATGGGGAGCATGTAGGAGAAGGAGGGACCTTGAGTTTTTACCCTGCCCAGTAGAGGAATAGCCAGTGATTATCAAGCTCTCATCAGTGTGTCTGATAACCAAAGTCATTCTTCCCTCTTTGGAGTGGGAAAGGTATAGGAATGAGGTAGGTGCTGAAAATTCCCACTCCATCTCTTCCCGCAAATGAAGAAGGTGTTGGTGGAAGCACCTTCCTTTCTGGGTTGTGGAAGCGATGATTCAGCTGAGTCAAATGACACGTGAACAATAGGAACAACTCTACCTCCCATGAACTGTTGGCTTGCTGTCTTCCTCATGAGTCAGTTTCAGCAGAGTGTGGCCAAGAAAATTCCCCTGATGGAGACTGGGTAAACAGTCTACCTCTGTGGGCCACCTCCCTTCCATCCTCTACCCAGTGCAAGTCAAAGCTGCCCATCACTGGGCACTGGGCAGTCAGGGGACTCCTGATGACTGACTCAGAGCAGAGTGATGTCGTGACAATCAGGCACAGAAAATCAACTTCTACAAAAGCCTGACAAGTGAGTGCTTTTCTCTGCTCTCAAATCCTTTTCAGAGTGGAAGCTTTCTCCAGCATTCAGGCGGCACCTAACGCTCCATCCCGAGACCACAGAGATAACTAAGATGTGTCAAAGGTTTTGAGGAGAAAGTGACATCAGTGCACTGTGTCTTAGTTCAGAGGCTAACTGTATGTGTCACAAATAGCATCTGTGGGTAAGTGGTGGAGAACTTGGGAAAAGACAGACATCTTGGGAAAAGAAAACCCTTCCCTTGCAGCCACACACCAGAGACTATTCACAAGAGTCAGCTTCAGTAGTGGGCAATTTCTCATGCACCTGAACAGTTTATGGCTAACTTTGGAAATAAGCAGCCAGGTTGGCTGAATTCCAGCTAAAGAGCAATCAGGTAGGGCAGACAGTCTCAAAGACAATTTTATGATCCTTGTCTTGATTCTTGATGAAATGATAACTTTTAAAAAGCTACCATAGGTGTAAGGAGATCTGACTTCATTTTTTACTTTTCAGAAGTTATTTCCTGTAATCATCCAAAGCTTGCCTGGTGTCTCTCATTCCTGGATGCCAGTTTCAGCTTTATGCAGTGGAGTGCTTATTTCTACTTTCTGCATCCTTCCTGTGGCGTAATCTTCAAAATGCATCTCTACTCTTCAGTGGTTTTTCTCCTCCTGTGGTTCTCAAAGCGTGGTCCCTGGACCAGCAGCATCAGCATCACCTGAAAGTTTGCTAGAAATGCAAATTCTCAAGCCTACCCAAGACCTACTGAATCAGAAACTCTGGGGGTAGAGTTCAATAGTCTGTGTTAACAAGCCCTCTAGGGGGATTCCAATGCATGCTAAATGTGAAAGCCACTCTTCTAAGGCAACTTATCCTCTTGATTAACTCCTACCACTGATACGCTGGGCCAGAGACCAAATGGTGATCCAATTCTGTTAAATATTTAATCAATAAACAACTAATATTTAAGCTATTTTTGGAGGCTGCTCTGATCACTGGAATCCATGGCTAAAGCCAAGTTGTCTGAAAACTTATTTGTCACAAGCCCTCACAGTTATATTTTATCTTCTTCATGTACTCTAGATTCCGTAAAGTAATTTGGTATCCTTAGCATAGTTCTCTTTGTCAAATAGCTCTCTACTGCTATAATAAGATCTATTGAGAGAGGCATCGAATGCTTTGTTAACGATCTATTCTATTCACACTAATGAAACCTCCATTGTCCACCAAAATTGGAATGGTGTCAAAGAGTCATCAAGTTTTTCTGAAAGGTTTTTTTGTTCCCCTTATGTGCTACCCAGAGCTTACCTATTTATACCCTATGAGCTCAGTTTGATTAGCTTTCAATGCATTGTCTTACAAGTGAAATTAGATGAATGAAAGGGTTGTTTCCTTTAGGCTCCATCTTCAATGAGATTCTTCCTGTGTCAGAGACCTCGAGTAACTTTAACGTGTCTTCAGGCAAAAGATGTCAGGAAAAACCTGGCGGGAAAGGGAAAACTGTGTCTAGTCCCATAATTTTGTCTGTCTTCCTACCTGTACCTTCTGGTTCTTGACTTGGCTTGACTTGGAATTGCACTGCTTTTCCAAATGAAAACTGGTTATTAAAGCCCTTTTGCTTGAATTTCTGTTAGCAGCCCACTTCCCAATGTTGTCTGTCTCTCTCTGCCTCCAAATCTCAGATAAAACCTGAGACCATACTCACTTCACGATTCTATTTCAGCAAAATTTGATTGTTTTGGCTTAGCTTTCTCTGACTTCAGTGTATATCTGAATCAACTGGAGGCCTTTTTTACCACACAGACTGCTGGGCTCTACTCACAGAGTTTCTAATTCAATAGATGTTAGGTGGGCCCAAGAATTTGCATTTCTAAAAAGTTCACAGGTCAGGCTAATGCTGCTAGTCCAGGGACTACAATTTGAGAACCCCTGCTGTACACCAGCACATGGCAATATCTGGATTCTTTCTGATTATTGTAGTCCTGACGCCCTTCCATTCTCATTGCAGTGTTTCATGTTTCTGTTTCATTCATTCCCAAAGCATTGTATTTCTTGCAGGCTGCCAGGCAACTGTGATCTATTGCTTGGGCAAGAAAAGATATACAAACCTCACCATTTTCCCATAACTTTTATTTGGTACAGTGGAGTGACCTGGCTCCAGGAAAACAACTTACTTCTTTGCTAAAAGTAAAGTCCTTGGAGGGTATTAAAACCACACAGTATCCCTTAGAAACTTAATGCAACCCATGGTATTTACTGATGGACACCCAGACATGTGTAATAGGATTATAGATCAGCCTCATTTAAGACAAAGTTTGCTGGGGGAGATCAAAATTACTCCCTGTGGAACCTAAATTAGGTACAAAGCAATTAACTTTAAGCAACCAAAAAATTGGTTCTATAAAAATTCCATTTAAAATCAGCTCTTAACTACAAGCTCATTACCAGGTACCTTCACTAAATAAGAGACAAATAAGTCTCTGGAGATGGAAAATATGAACTAAATTTTGGGACACCTCATTGAATATGAAAACTGATGAAGTCTTAGATCTAATCTGTAAGAACAAGGATCAGCTATTTCTACAGACTTTCTGACTTTTCAAATCACTTCCATACCCAGAAAGACAAATCTTCTCATTCCTGAAAACAAATACATTTATGTTTCAATTCCACTGATGGTTCAGTTGGTGCAATATTAAATACACTTGATTTCATTTCGTTTCTTTTTGAGTGTGAGAATTTCAAACTTCTATTGAGAGCCAACACATCAGCTCAATAGACTTTTATTTTCACAAAGTGTGTTTCTTTGCTTAGCATATGGTAAGAACTTTAAAAGTGTTTGTCAATTAAATATTAACAGATCATTAATTGTTGAATGAATACATTAATGAAAGTTGTTGACTTAATATATGATTATGAATTTAATGTAAGTGCTTTAAAATTAGAAAATACAGAAAAATATAAAGAAATAAAACAATCATCCGTAATCTCACAACCTGAAGCAAACTACTACTAATTTTTGAAACATTTTTCCCATCACATATGCCTATGTGTGTATGTAGGTATATATAGTTATTACCATATTAAATATAAAATGTCACATTTTGTGAAATTTACTTTTATAATGGAAATCTGTAGCAACAGAGATGGAGCTGGAGGCCATTACTCTAAGAGACTTAACACAAGAACAGAAAACCGAATACTGCATGTTCTCACTTATAAGTGAAAGCTAAACATTGAGTGCACATGAACATAACGATGGGAACAACAGACACTGGGAATGGGACCATTAGTTGGGGGAGGGAGGAAGGGAGGAAGGGACTGAAGAACCACCTGTGGGTATTATGCTTACTACCTTGGTAATGGGATCGTTGAGACCCCAAGCCTCACCATCATGCTATTTACCCATATAACAAATCTGCATGGATATCCTTTAATCTACAATAAAAATGGGAAAAAATTTTAAGTCACATTTGTTAATTTACTTTTTTATTTATTTTTTTTTTTTGAGGCAGAGTTTCACTTTTGTTGTCCAGGCTGGAGTACAATGGCACAATCTCGGCTCACTGCAACATTTGCCTCCTGGGTTCAAGCAATTCTTCTGCCTCAGCCTCCCAAGTAGCTGGGATTACAGGTGCCTACCACCATGCCCAGCTAATTTTTGTATTTTTAGTAGAGACGGGGTTTTACCATGTTGGCAAGGTTGGTCTCAAACTCTTGACCTCAGGTGATCCACCCACCTTAGCCTCCCAAAGTGCTGGGATTACAGGCATGAGCTACCATGCCCAGTCTTGTTAATTTACTTTTATAATGAAAATTTCCTGAAATCATTAGCAATTCACTGAGAACATCATTTTCATGGTCATGTAATAGTCCAGTGAGTGAATATTCTCAATTTAATACTTCTACTATTACCAGATATTAGGGTATATCTAATATTATTTCTATGTGCCTAGATAAATATGTTTCTAGAAAAACATTTTATTTATGATTAGAATCTACTACTTAGAATAAAATCATTGGATGAAAAGATAGAAATATTTTTAAAGCTCTTGATACCTATTGAAAAACAAATTGTTTTTCAGAAAGGTTGTACCTGCCTACAAGATTATCAACAGTGTGTGAGAACATCCGCTTTGCTGAACTCTTTCTCACATATCACCTTTAGAGATGTTATGTGGTATGTTTTTAATTTTCATTTAATCTTTTGCTAGTTAGATTAAACATGGCAAGTTTTGCTAGCCATTAGTACTTCCTTTTTATGTGAAATGTCTGTTCATGTTCTTTGTCCATTTTTCAATAGTATCTTAGAATATTTATTGTTCACTTGCATATGCTCTTTATACATGAAAGAGCTCTTTATACATATATCATTATACATATATACATATATATGCTCTTTATACATATATCATCTCCCATTATGTCAATTAACTTTTAACTTTGTTAATGACTTTTTATATATGTACATAAGTTTTGTCTACATGTTTTTTCCATAGCTTTTAAACCTAGAATGTATTTCCTCAGCCATAGACTAGATAATAAAACTCTATTTTTAAATAAAGATTTCTAAATTGGTTTACATGTTAAAATTAGCATTTTAATTTTTCTAAGAAAATATTTGGCATAAGAAGTAAAAACTTTGCTTTCCCAAAAAGACTAGATAAAACAAACCATGCTTCTCCATTTATGATTAATATATATTACATGTATATATGTATGTACTTTATATACAGATAGATATATACAAAAATGTGTGAATATGTGTACATATATACATGTTTGTATATGTATATATACACACAATGTATGTATATATACACACATATGTACATATACATGTATATATACACACATATGTACATATACATGTATATATTTATACACACACACATACTTCTAGTACAGTGTTACCCCTTTTCACTGAATTATTTATCAGCGTCTGTAATTACATTACAGTTTTAATTATTATAGCTTTACTGCATGTTTTAATAACTAAAGCAAACCCCCTCATTACATCACTTTTTAAAGTACTCTTGGCTATGCTTATCTATTCATGTTTTCTCAGATATTCTCAGACTGATTTACTTGTTTTTCCTCAAAAATTTCAATAGAATTGCATTAAAATATGTTTAAAATATTCACATTTCATGTTGGAGTATATGATAAATCTATCCATTTATTTAGAACTTCTTTTATATTTCTCAGTAAAGTTTCACAACTTTCTTTATATGTATCTTATCCATTTCAGGAAATATGTATCCCTCATTGCCTTATATTTTTATCCTTACTGAAAATAGCATCTTTTCTCCTTGTTATCATTTAGTTGATTTTCAATGGCATATTGAAAAAAAGAACCCAATTAACATTGATGTATTTACTTTGTATTTAGTGACTCCACTGAAGTTCTTTCTTAATTATACTTTTCTCCAATGATTTTCTTGCATTTTCTTTGCAAACATAGGAAAAAATGATGGAGTTAACACCATTATGCTCACTAGCAAACTTTAGCAAGTTTTAACTTTTTTCCATATTTGCCTCTACTGTTTTTTTAATAAAACCATAAATGAAACATTATTGACATATTTGAAAACTCTGCATACCCCTCCCTAACAGTAGTCCTTTCTCTTTTTTTCTCAGAGATGTCTACGAACGCAAAGTTATTTTCTGGGCTCATAACTCTCCCTTTTATGGGTTTATACTTAGTAGTTATGTGTTAGTAAAAACTATCTGATTATTATGTTTTAAAACATTATGAAATTATATTATAGTGTATATATGATTTACAGTTTTTCTCAATAAAATACTGTAATATTTATTCATGTTGATATAGTAGTTCTATGTTAGTGATTTTCACGGTTATATTGAATTTGATTGTGTGAACATGCAACAATGTATTTATCCATTTTTCTTCTGATAGGCCTTTGCTATTGACAATGCTTCCATTCCCACATGTGTGGCCTTATGCAAATGTGCAAGAGTTTCTTTAAGACATATGTGGGTATGCTCACCTTCCACATTACTAAATATTGCCAACTTGCTCTCTGTAGTCTTTGTACCAATGCAAGCATCCTCCAGATAGCTATCTGAGCAAGCTCTCCTTCCACATCCAAACCTGCAGGAGATACAGTAAGACTTTTATTTGCCAATCTGAAGGGTGTGGAGTGATATCTTAATTTGTTTCAATATGCGTTTACAACAGGCTTTTTTGGTTAAGGGCCAGGTTTGTTCTTTGGGTTTCTTTGGGTTTGTTGTTGTGTTTTTTTCAGCCAACCATTCAAGAATGTAAAAACACATTCTTAGCTCTCTGGCTCTGCCACAACAACTTGTGGGTTAGATTTGACCTGCAGGCCATAGTTTGCAGACCCCTTTCTTTGTGAAAACCAGTGAAGTTGAGCATCTTTTCAGAGGATTATTGACCATTTTCTTCTTTTTAATTGAAACACAAATTTTGAGATTTTTGGGGGTGATTTGTCTTTTCTTATGGATTTGTGGGACTTCTTTGTAAATTCTGAATATGAGTCTTTTCTCAGTTATATGTATTGCCAATATCTCTTCCATCCTTTGGCTGTTTTTCAATTACAGCACAATCTTCACTAGAAGTCATTTCTTGGGGTTTCTAAGTAGAATTTTGGTCCTCTACAAATAATATATCCTTTCCTTTTACATACACAGTCATTCCTCTTATTTTGATTTCAAGCTTTATTACATTGGCCACAATGTTCAGAGCAATTTAAAATAGTGATGATTATATATGGTTACTATGTTTTATTTTTGATATGTTAAAATGTATGTTGGTCATGTGAGTTAATATGGCTGTTTCTGAGTAAGAACAGAATCAGGCTTTTTGTGCCTTCCATTATGGTAGTCCTCAATCCTTTCAAGCCATGGACTCTCTCTTTGTAGCAAAAGACATTTTTGCATTTTCTGCTAAGCCGATGGGCATTTATCATTATGTAAATTAAATCCCTGTGCTTTATACTGGATGATTAGCCCATCTTCAAGCTCAGTGGTGAAGAGTCACTAGTAGAAAATGCAGTTTCTAAAGAAACACATTCTTGCAGGTCATGAGTAAATGAGTGAATGCATTAACACGTGAAATGAATAACAAGAAGACCTCAGACAGAGAACAGAGCACAGGCATGCCTGGAAGATATTGCAGGCTCAGCTCCAGGACCCAGCAATAAACTGAATCACAGAGATTTGGTTTCCCAGTGCATATAAAAGTTATGTTTACACTATACTGTAGTCTGTTAAGTGTGCAAAAGCATTATGTCTGAAAACAATGCACATGCTTTAACTAAAAATACTTATTGCTAAACAATACTAACAATTATCTCAGCCTTCAGCTGGTCATAACCTTTTTGTTGGTGGAGAGTATTGCCTCAGTGTTGATGGCTACTGACAGATCAAAATGGTAGTTACTAAAAGTTGAGGTGGTGTGGCAAATTATTAAAATAAAGCTACAATGAAGTTTGGTACATTGATTGACTCTTTCTTTAAGGAAAAAAATTTCTGTAGTAGGTGATGCTGTTTGACAGCATTTTACTTACAGTGGAACTTCATTCAAAATTGAAGTCAATCCTCTCACTCCCTGCTGCTGCTGCTTTAATAACCAAGTTAATTTAATATTCTAAATCCTCTATTGTCATTTTAACAATGTTCACAATGTCTTCTCTAGAAGTAGGTTCCATCTCAGGAGACCACTTTCTTTTGCTCATCCATAGGAAGCAAGTCCTCATCTGTTCAAGTCTGATTATGAGATTGTAGCAATTCAATCTCATTTTCAGGCTCTAGTTCTTCTAACTCTAGTTCTCTTGCTATTTCTACCATACCTATAGTCACTTTTTCCATGAAAATCTTGAATTCCTTAAAGTCGTCCATGAGGATTGGGATAAAATTTTTCCAAACTCCTGTTAATCTATATATTTTTATGTCTTTCTATGAATCATGAATGTTCTTAATGGCATGTAGAATGGTAAATTCTTTCCAGAAGATTTTCAACTTACATTGCCAGAACCATCAGAGATATCACTATCTATGGCAGCAATAGCCTTACAAAAATTTATTTCTTAAATAATAAGACTTGAAAGTCAAAATTACCCCTTGATCCATTGGCTGCAGATGGATGTTGTGTTAGCAGGCATGAAAACATTAATCTCCTTGTATATTTCCGTCAGAGCTCTTGCATGACTAGGTGCTTTGTTAGTGAACAGTAATATTTTGAAAGGAATCTTTTTTTGTTCTGAGCAGTAGGTCTCAACAATAGGTTTAAATATTCAGTAAGCCATGCTATAAATAGATATGCTGTCATCTAGGCTTTGTTGTTCCACTTATAGAGCACAGGCAGAGTAGACTTACCATAATTCTTAGTGCCCTACAATTTTTGGAGTGGTAAGTGAGCATTGGTTTCAAATTCAAATCATCAGCTGCCTTAGCCTCTAATAAGAGAGCCAACCTGTCCTTTGAAGCCAGGCATTGACTTCTCCTCTCTAGCTATGAAAGTCCTTGATGTCACCTCCTTCCCAAATAAGACTGTTTTGTCTACACCAAAAATCTATTGTTTGGTGTAGCCACCTTCATCAGTGATCTTAGCTGGATCTGAATAACTTGCTGCAGCTTCTTCATTAGCAATTGCTTCTTCGCCTTGCACTGTTTTCATTTCTTTTTTTTTTTCCAGATGGAATCTCGCTCTGTCTCCCAAGCTGGAGTGTGATGGCATGACACCTTGCACTTCTATGTTATGGAGATGGCTTCTTTCCTTAAACCTCAGGAACCAAACTCTGCTAGCTTCCAACTTCTCTTCTCCCACCTTCCTCACCTCTCTCATAGAATTAAAGAGAGTTAGGGCTCATCGAACTGAAGGGAGTTAGGAGTTTGCTCTGGAATAGGATGTGGCTTAAGGAAATGTAGTAATTGCTTTGCTCTATTCAGATTGCTCAGACTTTCTCCATATCAGCAATAAAGCTGTTTTGCTTTCTTATTTTCTTTGTGTGTTCACTGAAATAACACTTTTCATTTCCTTCAAGAACTTTTCTTTGCATTTACAACTTGGCTAACTGGCAAGGGCCTACCTTTAGGACTGTCTCACTTTTGACATGCCTTTCTCACTAAGCTTAATCATTTGTAGCTTTTCATTTAAAATGAGGAACATGCCACTCTTCCTTTCACCTCTTTCCCTTTGCTTCCTTTCACTCTTCCTTTCACCTAGAGACCATTGTAGGGTTATTAGTTACCCTAATTTCAATATTGTTGTCTGTGGGAATAGAGAGGCCAGAGGGGAAGGAATGGCCAGTCAGTGGATAAGCAAGTATACACACAACATTAATGGATTAAGTTTGCCATCTTATATGGACTCACTTCATGGTGTCCTGAAACAGTCAATAGTAACATCAAAGATCACTGATTACAGATCACTATAACAACAGTTATAATAATGAAAAAGCTTGAAATATTGTAAAAATTACCAATACGTGACACAGAGAAACAAAGTGATCATATACTGTTGGAAAAATGGCACAAATAGATGTGCTTAATTCTGGGTTGCTACTAGCCTTCAATCTGTTAAAAAGAAAAAAAGCAATATTTACAAAGCACAATAAAGCAAAGCACAACGAATCAAAGCACAAAAAAGGTACTACATTTAGAAGGAGGCTTATACGGTTGAGGTTTATAAAACATGAAAGAATATTTTGTAAAACCAAATAAGTGATATACAATGGTAAGTTATTATTTAAGTTAGCAGCAACCGTGATCACCATACTATCAATATCTCTGTGGGAAACTTCTAGCTGCAAGGTATTTTAAAGCTCTCTTAAACTTCTCCATGGGTACAATTGTGAGAAAAATTGCAATCAGGTTGTTTATTGTTTTGCATGTGGCAGGTTTTCCAAAACTACTTGAATCTGAGAACCATGTTATGAATCTTTATGTTTTTCATGTGAATTACATAATAATGACCCATGGAATTAGCTTGATAAATGTTTAGAAATTGAAATCATTGAAGTGGGAGAATTTCTAAAGAATCCTGGGCTCAAAAATGATTCACTCAGCAGGGAAATACAAAGGGAATCATGTTACTTCTTCAAACAGATAAGAGGCTCTGCCAACACTGTGCTACCTGTGTTTCCAGAATCTGCTGGTAAAGTCTCTTTTGTCTGGGACCTAGAAAGAGTGAAGAAGGGAATATTAGAACTCAAGTTGCAATTTCCAAAAACATACTTTGCAAATCACAAACTGAAGAAGCTGACACCACTACTTACCTTATGGGGGCAGGTGGGAAAAAGTGTCCTTGTTTTTGAAAGGTGACTTCATTCCAGCTTTATTACCTCTTGTAACTCTACTGTTGAATAAGAAATAATACAGTGAATTATAATAGCTCTGTCTGGAGACTATCTTCTGCCTAAAAATATTGCTACATTCTAATGACAGTAACTTGAGGTCCATTCTGGAAAGACAAGACACACATCTACTGCTCCTGATCCTGCTCCTGCTCCCATCCCCACCTCCATCCCCATCATCTCATGAACACCTTTCCTGGCGTCTACACAGAGACCTTGTCAGGATTTAACCACCTCATACACCTTTCCCCTGGACATTTTTTACCCCATAAATGTTCCCAGATTGCTCTTTGAGTAGGTTTTCTCTGTCCTTTGTCTCTGCTTCTCCCTTGATATTGATGAAAGGGACCACCTCGTAAGATGCATGTTGGCTGGACAGCTCCAGCTCCCTGGGGACCTCACAATGAAGACGGGGTTTGACTCCATAATTTTATTACAACCATTATTCACCTTCAGGGCACAGAAGCCAGGGAGGTGTGCTGAGACCTCAGGAACCACTGACAAGTAGGCAATCATGTCATTGGTTTAACTTTCAAAAGCCTGAAGACACAAATATACTGCCTATCTGGTGGCTCAGGCCATCAGTGTCATAGCAGGTCTATTACAAATAAAAGAAACTTGTGACACCATGTCTGTCAAGCTGGAGAAAATGGTGCAGAAGGACAGCTACACCAGATGAGGAGGCACATGGAGGGGTGCACACAGCAATTTTTCTCCAGGGGGAGACTTTCCTAAGAAATACCACCACAAGAGGGGAGAATATTGGAAAAATGTGACATACAAAGCACCGGAAATGATTCGCAAAATATGGGACAAGTGATAATGAAAAAACAACAGTCATTATTCTCTGACCCTGGGCCATAAAGCCCTCTGATTTTCCAACTCTACCTGCTTTGGGAAACAGAAAGTAGAGAGGCGATAGATTGTACTGCGACATTGATCTCTTTCAAATATTCAAAACAAAATCCCTGCTTTTTCTTTCAGAGAACAGGCTGGGTCAGGGCATCTGTGTTTAATTGTGTCCACCCTATTCTCTGTTTAGGTGACCAGTTGTCGTTAACTTCAGATGTTTTTCCTTGAGGAGAGTGTGCAGGAATGAGAAGAAAACACCATCAGAATCATGTGGACCCACATTCATCCCTCCCTTCACCCCTACTGGGAAGGAATCCAGAAGGCTCAAAGATGTGGAAAAGGCTAGCAGAAAAACAGTACCTGGGACAGAGGGTAGAGATTCCTATGGCAGGAATGTGACTACTTTTAATCTTTCTTCCATCATCTCAGCTTTTAAATTTCTCCCTAGAGAACCTTTCAGTAGTAAGATTCAGAGGTGCGTGTTAGGGTGTCAGGTGCACCCTGTGTTCCAGAGGTAGATGGTACAGGCTCCCTTGTCTGGAGGCAAAGCAGGGCCAGAGTTGGCAGGTTCAGTTTCAAGGCTTTGGGAAAGCAGTGGCCCAGCAGTATATCTTCTGGCTCTTGGAAGCAGGAATGCACACTTGATTCAGGCTGGGAGCAAATCCCTGTTTCATCTTTCAGGAATATCAGGAGTGTGGCAGCAGGTAACAGGGTGCTTTGCAGAACCAGCAGAGGGGCGTACACCTCAGGGCACACCCCAGGGAGCCATCGTGTCCCAGTGTGGAGGCAGAAAGGTAGAGAGGAGACATTGGAGAAGCTTAGAGTAACCTTGTGAACTTTAGCCTTAAATCAGCTGACTGAGCAGGGTCTTCTCTTAACCCTGTTCAGGATGAGGCTATGCCTGGGGTAAAAAGAAAAAGCCTCCAACTCTTTTACATTGGCAACTATGAGGATGGAAAAAATGATAGTGGTGGTGTATGTTTTTTCATTAACAGGTTAACCTGACCATTTCGGGAGTGTCATTAAATATTTTTCTAAGATAAAATTTTTACTGAGTAATGCTTGTGCCACTACTTAAACCATTACCTTAAATTGTTTTCTAATATAAATAATTCTGGGATGAACATCTATGAATATATATTTTCTCCCATCACTGAAGTGAGATTGCTGAATCAAAGGATGGAAGGTTTTGAAGACTCTGGATACAGCTTTCAAAGTTCCTTTCCAGAAAATTGTGTTAACAAAAGCTCCCACCAGCAAAGCAGAAGAAGACTGATAAATTTGTTCTTGTGACTTTCTCAGGATGTGGAA